TTGCAGATGGTGCAGGTTTCGAATTGAACCATTGTCAATGGCTACTTTCCGCCGTGCAGCGAAGCTCAGCAGCAGCAGATGGCCACGAAACTGTTTCACTCGCTCAAGATGAACAACGTGGGAGCCGGTGGTCGTCCCTGGTTGTTTGTCGGCGACGTCAGCAGTCACCTCGGCGAGAGCCCCTTCGAACTTGCTGCTGAGGCTCTGCAAGCCAGTCCGCTCACCGGCTTGCAAGGCTTGTCCACTAGATGGGACGGCACCGGCACCCGCACCATTGATCATTTTTACAGCAATGTCAAAGCTCTGCAGTACAAGATTTCTGATCACAAGCCCTTGCACGTGCAAATCTCTGCTCCTTGGCAGGAGGAGGAGCTGCGCGGCGTTTTGCGACAGAGACAATCGTGGAGCAAACCCGAAGATGCTGAGGAAAAGACTTGGGAAGCCACCCTCGCGGCCAAGCGGTCAGCTTCGCATCATGTGGCAAAGCTCCGTGCGCGACTTGGCACAGACATAGATGTGGAAGCTGAGTGGGAGCTCTTCAACACCGCGCTCAACAACATGTTTGATGAAGCTCTTCAGCACTGCTGCAAGACTCCTGCACAGCAGCCCAAGCGTCGGCAGCGAAAGCGGCATGCAGTGCCCTGGCAAAGGCAGACCAGCTGAAGTCGTCATGGTCCCTAAGCCCTAAGCGCTTGAACCCTGATCCGGGGAACTTCGCCTGTCGCAAGCCCTCAATCTGATTGCTCGTGCCACCACCTACATTCGTAAGCAAGCTGCTGACAGCGGTTTCAAGCATAGCGAGGAAGGGCAAAACCTCGCTGCGAAACTTGGCTCCAGCAGCACTCCGATGCTCGAAGCGGCTGTGAGGCAGAAAGAGCAGGAAGAGGCGGACTACCGGCAGCAGCTCAAGCAGTCGCGCATTACAAACTGGAAGCAGCGGATGCAAAGCAACTTCAAAGACCGCAGGGCTTGGCTCAAGCAGCAGCAAAACGGCCTCACTCCAGTCATCAACGATCAAGGTGAGCAACGCTTTACCAGAATTGAAGGAGATCCGTCAAACCAGCCTGGTGAAACCCGGGAAGATTGTGAAAGAGCAGCTTTCCAGTGAGCACACCCGTCCGATCAGCGTCTACAGCTTGTTTTGGAGAGTTTACTCCAGCACCTGGGCCAAGTCTGATTTGGTGAGGAACTGGCGCGACAAAGTGCTCACGCACGAAGTGGGAGGCGGCAAAGGCCAAGCTGGTTGTGAACAGCTCGCCGCCCAGGCTCTGGATGCTTTTCATTTTCACGGACTCGCTGGGCACCCTAGACTACTCACCGGCGTTTGACCACGTCGACCCGCAGCTGGTGACAGAAACCATGAGCTGGCTTGGCTGGATTGAATCGCGGCTTCACCAACGTCTTGTGTGACGTATGGCAGAATCAGCGCCGGCTGGTCTCTTGGGACGGCCACACGGATCCGCAGCACATGGTGACAGATTGGGGTATTCCCCAAGGAGACGGGATGTCACCCTTAGGCCTTAACATTTTGCTCTTTGCTGGTTTGTTATGGGTTAAGCACAATACTCGTCACCTCGACGGCGATGCAGCGCATTTCCTTTTCATGGACGACAGAAGTTGGACGGCTAGCACATTGCCGAAGCTTCTGGGCATCAAGACGGCTTGGCAGCGATGGTCTGCCATCATGGGCCTGCTTGAAAATGCAGGTAAGACACAGCTGACTGCACTCAGGCCCAAAGATCTTGAAGAGCTTCGCAAGGCCGCCGACCCCAGAGAGGTCAAGCAGAACCTCGTCATGCTCGGCACAGTCACCGTGACGAGGATGCAGCGGCGCACCGCAGCTGAGGAAGCGCAACGGCTTGAAAAGGCAGCTAGCACAGCTGCCCGTGCGACTTTCTTGCCTCTTTCCCGCAAAGCAAAGTACGAGACCATCGGTGCTACTGCAACTGCCCAGGCATCCTACGGCTGGATAGGCCGCAAACCCCCAGAAGCTGAATGCAAGCGCCTTGACCTCGCTGCATGGAAGGCTTGTGGTGAACCGTATGATGCAGGCATACACCACAAGCGTTTGCTGTTGTCACTGCCCTTGGAAACGGAGATCGGCATCAGGCAGGTCATGCGTATGCTTCACGCCTCTGGGCGATGGCGCCTCGTGCAAGCTGCGCCCACAGCATCAGAGAAGTGTGCCTTTGAATGGTTGAGAAAGCACGGATGGACCATGACCGGTCCGCGAGTCTGGAGCCACCAAGTGCTTGGTTTTCAGATTCGGCCGATTCTGCCAGGCCGCACACGCTTGAGTACGCCACTGCGCAATACTGCACGAATAGGCTTGCTGCCTATAGAAAGCTCGTGGAGTCTGCCGCGGTGCAGCTTTGTGGAGGAGTCCAGGCAGATGTTGCCTCTTAGTGTCGGTTAGCTTTGTCTTCTCCACTCCACCCCGCCCCCCACCCCCTTCCACGACTCCACCTGGTGGGGGTGGAGTGCGGGTTTCGGGTGTGGGTGTTTGGGCGCAGGGGTGTAGGGCGCGGTGCAGGGTGTCGGGGTAGAGGTGGAGGGCTGTGGGGGTGTCGGGGCAGTGTCGGGCGGAGTGTAGGGGTGTGGGGTTTGGGTGCAGGGGGGTGTGCGGGTGTAGGGGTTGGGTGCAGGGGTGTGGGGGTGTAGGGGTGGAGGGGTGGAGGGGTGTAGGAGTGCAGGGGTGCAGGTCGGGGTGCAGGGGTGTAGGTTCGGCTCCGCTTATTTAAAATCCGCTTGGTGGCCCGGGCACGCAGCTAAGGGAGGTAGTATAAAATATCTGTTTAGGTATCTGAAAATGCGCTTATTTAAAAAACATCCCCGTAGTTTTGAAAAAGGCGAGCATATGGCGGCGGTGCACGGAACATGTTTCTGGCTTCCACGTAATTGTAGAGTCTCTTCACGCCGAGGTTCTGGAGCAAGTGGATTCCACG